AGCCTCTGACAATTGGTCAAGTTGAAACCAGAGCAAAACTAGAAGATTCAATGGCTGGACAGAGGTGGTCAGAGGTACAAATTTAGGCAAAGGGTAGTTTCAATTATGCAAGATGACTAAACCATAGTTAGATTTAGTAGATTTAGTAGACTAAGTCAGGATGATTATACATCATCGTGCCAACAGCTGACAATGTTAAAACTTTGCTAAGAAAATAGACCTCATGTTAAGTATTCTTATCACACATACACACAAATAAGAGGGCAGGAGGAAACTTTTGGAGGTGATGGATATGTTTATGCAATAGAGTGTGTGGTTTCATGGGTATATACTTATATCCAAAATCATCAAGTTGGGGCGCCTGGATGGCTCCGTGGGTTAAAGCCTCTGCTTTTGGCTCAGGTCATGATCCCAGGGTTCTGGGATCACCTGCATGGGGCTTTCCACCCAGCGGGGAGCCTGCTTCCTCCTCTTTCTCTGCCTGCTTCTCTGCCTACTTGTGATCTCCGTCTGTCAAATAAATAATTAAAATCTTTTAAAAAAATCATCAAGTTATATATATCAAATATGTACAGCATTTTGTCTGTCAACCATACTTTAATAAAATGGTTTATTAAAAAGGAAAAAAAAAAAGGAAGTGCTTGCAAGAATCTGAAAACCTTCAAAAAGTTGCACAGATTTCTCCCATAGTCTGGTGCTTTCCAAGCTAAAAGGTTTTGTGGGACTCTAATCAATTCTAGGAATAGTTCCTAGCTTAGCTTAAGTGATGGACTAATTTAAATATTAGTGGCTATGGCAACAAATTGTGGTTAATTTTACATTTTTAAAACATGCCCCTAAATTGGGTATCTTGTGCTAATGCAGCAATAAGGGACAGGGATCTCGTCCCGGCTCTGACACTCTGTTTCCTAGGTCAGCCCAGGTTCTAACCTATGAAATGAAATTGGACTCAGTTATATGTAAGACCCACTCTAGAATAAAGATAGCTCAAGGATCCCAACTTCTAATCATCCTGCTTATCTGCTTCAATAAAATAATTTATTTTTAAAGCACAGTTTGGTAGTAAGACATGCTTTCCACTTTGCTTTAGTTGATCACAGAGCGAGAGAAGAAAGGATGTAGTACACTCTAGATTCTGGTTGTTTCTTCCCAGCCCCATTTTCCTTTTGCTCTTCTATTTTCTTTTTAAACGTCCCATTCCTTATCTCTGATTTTTTAAAAAAAGATTTTGTTTATTTATTTGACAGATAAAACACAAGTAGGCAGGGAGGCAGACAGAGGGAGAAGGAGAAACAGGCTCTCTGCTGAGCAGGGAGCCCGATGCTGGGCTCGATCCCAGGATCCTGGGATCATGACCTGAGCAGAAGGCAGATGCTTAACTGACTGAGCCACCCAGGCGCCCCTTTATTTCTGATTTTTAAATGTAAATACATCATAAAAGTTTACTCATCCATGAAATGGGAACAATGGTACCTCTACAGGAAGACTATGTGCGAATTAAATCAACTCAGTAGTAGATCTGTTTAGTGAGTAGATCTCACAGGTAGGCTGTGTGGGAATTAAATGAACTCAGTGTAATGTAAACACTGGACCAATGGCTGGCATGTGTCCTGTAGGTACTCAAAAACATTAGCAGATATCATTGGGATTATTAGAATTACAGTTTTTACACGTTCACCCTAAAAATCAGAAAAGTCAGCAAGACACAAAAATAATAAAAATTATTTGTAATTTATGACCCCATCACTGTGATTATTACTACGGAGTAGTAACATTTAACACAGCGAAGCACGTGCTTCCAGACTCCTCTCTGGCTCTCTCCCTACAGATGCAGGTATGTTCACGTATCATCTGTTTGCAGCTGGGCCCCCTTTGTGGCTCCCATGTGTGTTCTTTTTTCATCTTTAGGCCAGACCAATATATTAAATTCCAGTGCAAATCACTGATGATGATGACAGTTTTTCCCGAACACTTTGAAAGGAGAGAAAGACTGCATTGCATCATACCCTCCAGGGGAACAGTTATTCAGAATGTTTCAGCATTTCTCGTTCCCTCCAAGTCCCTCTCTGGCTGGTGGCACCTCACATCTCCCCTCCTGCACACCACTTCCTCCACAGCCACCCAAGCTGCCTCTGGTGCCCCTGCTCACAATGCTCCCCAAAGCACGCAGGGTTCTACTGAGAACCCTCCAATCAGGGAGCTTTTGGACAAATGTCAACTACCTGTTGACTGTTTAGGGGTGAGTCAGGTTCTCTGTGTACAATGTACTTAGACACTCACCAGTGGGAGAGGATGACCTTAAGTTTAATCATTATCTTTCAAGTCAGGAGAGAAAAAAGAAAAAGAACTTGGCAAATCCAAGTGGTTGGGCATCCATGCACTGATTCTCTGACCCTCCCAAGTGGTCTGCTTGGTCACCAACGGCTCAGCAACGCATACCTAAGAGTTCTGGGATGAAGGCCCGTCCCAGTCCTCGGATGACCTTGATGGCACTTGGGTCCCTTCAACATGTCCTTTAGATCTCTCAGCCCAAGGAAAGCCTTCTTGCCTCTCTCCATTTATAAAAAGTCTGAGTCTACGGTATGCTTTAAATGAAAATAATAGACATTGCAAGACCCCAGTCTCTTCTGGGATTCTTGAAACGCTGTGAGCATCTGTAATTTTGTGATGAGCTAAACCCCCATCAAATTACTTGGGCTGTGTTGTTTCAACTGGAAATATCGCCTCTGTTCCAAAGTGATACTGTGATGCTCTCCAAGGTGAACCTGATGCTCTCACATCAGCCCTTGACAATCTGCTGACCCAGAATTTTATATAATGTGCTGTCTTTTTATACCGATGTTGTGCAGATATCTCACTGTTTTAGTCTGATCGGGCTGCCGTAACAAAATACTGGAGACTAGGTAGCTTGAACAATATAAATTTATTGTCACACAGTTCTGGAGACTAGGAGTCCAAGATCAAATTGCCATCAAGATTGCTATAGTGAGGGGCGCCTGGGTGGCTCAGTGGGTTAAGCCGCTGCCTTCAGCTCAGGTCATGATCCTAGGGTCCTGGGATCGAGCCCCACATCGGGCTCTCTGCACAGTGGGGAGCCTGCTTCCCTTCCTCTCTCTGCCTGCCTCTCTGCCTACTTGTGATCTCTGCCTGTCAAATAAATAAATAAAATCTAAAAAAAAAAAAAAAAGATTGCTATAGTGAGGCCTCTCTTCCTGGCTTGCAGACAGCCATTTTCTCACTGTGTCCTCAAATGGCCTTTCCCCTGCGATTGCACAGGGGTGGAGAGATGGTAGGGGAAGAGAGAGGCACAGGGGTGGAGGGGTGGGGGAGACTTCTGGTGTCTCTTCTTATAAGCACACCAATCCTATTAGATTAAAGCCTCACTCTTATGACCTTATTTAAACTTAATTATTCTCTAAAGGCCCCATCTCCAAATAGTCACATTGGGGTTTAGGGTTTCAACCTATTAATTTTTTTTGGAAGGGAAGCTCAATTCAGTTCATAACACCTACCAAACACCAGCAGTCCAAGATAAAAATATAACAGCAAAGCAGAGGATTGGTTTTGAATCAAGATCTCATTATAAGTTATAGTGTTAAATATTTCTAAAGAGAGACATCTAGAGTAAACACATACACAGAATTAGACAAATTCTTCATATAGGCTTTCCAAGTATTTTCCTTGAAAAATTGAAAATTCTTAATACACTTATGATAACATTAGAATTTAAAGTGTTCATTTCCTTTCAAGAGAGCATTCCTTGAAATTTCATGTTTTTTCTTAGTGATTAACGTGAATCAGATTAAAGCGTTCCTCAAAAGCTGCATTGTACTTGCTCTAATAAGTTTTTTATGCCAATTAGCTAAAATTTAATTATTATTATAAGCTGCTTGACTTCATTAAAACGAGCTTCCTTTGTTATAAATGAATTTGGCTTATCAGAAAAGTTCATTCAAACTGAATTATGGGAGAAGAGATATTTAATTAGTATTTTAATTTTTTTCAGGCAAATAGGATAGCTGGCCAATCTTTAAAAATCTAGAATGTCACTAATATTGTCATTTTAGAAAAGCAAACACTTTATCCATTGCCTAATTTATACCAAAGGGCAACAAGTGATGCTTTCATGTTTTTTCTTATCAAACATCAGTTTATAATTTTACTGAAGTGTTGTTGTCACCCAGGTGTTAGTTTCTTTCTCTGGTACTACTTGACCGTTCGGAGATCTGCAATTATGAGGACATGTAATCGGGATCCTCATGTTGCTTTGAAAACTTTAAAACACAGATTTGACTATACTATTCAACATCAGAATTTAGCGCAGAACCGGGGTGCCTGGGTGGCTTAGTTGGTTGAACGACCCAGTCTTGCATTTCAGCTCAGGTCATGATCTCAGGGTCATGGGATCGAGCTTTGTTTTTTTTTTGTTTTTTTTTTTTTAAAGATTTTATTTATTTATTTGACAGACAGAGATCACAAGTAGGCAGAGAGGCAGGCAGAGAGAGAGAGAGAGAGGAGGAAGCAGGCTCCCTGCAGAGCAGAGAGCCCGATGTGGGGCTCGATCCCAGGACCCTGGGATCACGACCCGAGCCGAAGGCAGAGGCTTTAACCCACTGAGCCACCCAGGCGCCCCGGGATCGAGCTTTGTATTAGGCTCCACACTGGGCATCGAGCCTACTGGGCATTCTCTCTTTCTCTCTCTCTCTCCCCTTCTGCCCACCCCCTCTGTAGCATGCACTCTATCTCTCAAAAAAATTAAAAATTTAAAAAAAGAATTTAGCACATAACCAAATTAATTGTATAACAGTGTATACCACTACATTTGAGATGGGAATAAAAGCCTAAAGTTATTATGTCCAGTGATTTACAGTCATCGTTAAAAGAGACAGACCCTATGACACATAATTTTAATGAATAATGCAATGTGTTTGAAAGAAAGAGAGAGAGAGAGAAAGAAAACTATGCAGCCGTAAAATTTTTACATCGTTGTAGTCTTCTTTAGATATTTAAAAAAAATTAAGTCTGTGATAAATAAAATACACACAAAAAACCCTGCATTTTTAGTCCATGGATCACACACTGAAGGGGAAGTTAAAGAAAGCAAACTCAGCTAAATAAAGAAATAAATAAAGAGAATGACCAAAGTTGCCAAGTCATGACCTAATCAGTCTATTTGTCTGCTTTCAATTAATGGCTAAATAAGTTTCATGCAAGATCATATTAAACCTGAGTTTCTACATTGCATAACAGGAACACCTGATGTAGCTGCTAATCTAAGGGAATTTGATCTTCAAGTACCCAAGGCTGTGAAATAAACAAACTCTCCACACTTTAACCTAGATTTCAGTTTCAAACTCCAAATTCTATGAAGTGCTTCCGATGTCCCCTTTTGACTTTTGAGTACTAATATTCCCATTAGCTTCACTGTATATTTTTAAATCAATAGAGAAACTCAGCAAGTGCTTGTTAGTCACCTTTGGTCAACTTGGTATCTGAAAGAGTAATAATTAGTAAAGCTTCAGTAGTACTGAGATTGGTGCACGCAAGGAAATTAAATCACGCGACAGATAATCAGCTTCAGCAGTCCACCAATCTGACCACAGAGCAAGCCTAAGGAAGTGGAAAAGCCTTAAAAGCTGACAGAACCACCTTATGAAAAGTATCAGCTGGTCTGCAAAGTAAAAATATTGTAGCAATGGATCCCACTTTCAGCTTCTGCTGCTCATACCAGAGATATTGGCCACCATCCCCTGCTATACTGCCACATTTTTTTTAAACTTATGATGAAATATAGAATTGATCAAAAGAGAAATCTGTTCTGAGGAAGTTTACAAGATTTATAAGTACATAAGACACCAAATTTTTCCAAGTATAAATGTATATATAGTATATCTGGTTAGAAATGATACAAGTGATTAAAGCATCATGCAGATATATATGTTTGAAAAAATACTTTGTGTATTAATTTGTTAGAAATAAATTGTGCTGGATTAGCAGAGTTGGGTGAACACGACTCATTTGGTAAGCATGTGTCTTGATCAGCAAGATTCTTGGAAACGCAGGTCTAACAACAAGGATGAGACTTCACCATTTGAAATTCCTGTAACCACAAAAAAGAGGAAGAAAGAGAAGTGAAATTTGGGAGAAATTTATGCAAAAAACAGAGATTAAGATCAAGGAGAAGAGTTGGATTTGTGGATAAAAGGATGTTCCTGAATCTCAAGGACATTTGGGACATAGTGGCTGTTGTATTTCCCAGTGCCATGGTGACAACTGCATAAATAAACTAAATGTTCCTGGGTTGAGTGTTATTCTACCTGTCCTACCCACAGGCAGAGATACTGCACAACTTAACGAAGCTTAAGCTTCAAGGCCCAAAACGGGCTTAGAAATGCTTTCACATCGTCATATATTTGAGTAAAATTCAAAGAAGGTATTTTAATCATAGTCAGTTAAGACCACCATCTCTTTCCATTCTGACTTTCCCTCAGTCATGTCACATTGGAATGGCCATAAGCATGTTGGGATCCATTTAATGGAAAGTTGAACTAAGCATACGTTTGGTTTGGGTTTACCAAAATATAATTATGTGTTTTGCAGTCCTTTTGTGTAAAGGAAAGTATTGGTAGCTGTCCAGGTGCAGAAATGGCTTCCAGGAGTATCCCTACTGTCTGCTATGCCCACTCTCTTGGCATCCTGTCACACAAAAGTGAAGCGACAGAGTCATATTGCAATGTGACCTTATCCACCAATGCAGTGTGTGGGTAGAGGAGAATAAACAAGATTTGAAATGAATGGAGTTTATTGGAAGTCAACTTATTGGAAATTCTTCCAAATGCTAGAGAAGCAAAATTATTAAGACGGCAAGAGTCTATTTTCATCTTCCTTGTCAAAAAGGAAGTTCTATTCTGTCAGTGATATACTCAACAATGTGATGAATACAATTACAAATGTATCATGGTTTCTCCCCACTCTTTTGTGCATAATAGAATTTATCAGAATTACTGTCTGTAGTGTACACACTTAGCAGGACTCTACACAATGAGTACATCTGTCTTGAAGTAATACGTTATATATGCATTGCAAAGTACTGATTGTGTCTTAGCATACCTGATGCATCTTGTTTTCACAAAGGCTGATGACATGTCACTCATTGGGAGAAGATTAATTGACCCTTGATTTAATGCAAAATACTGGCATCAATAAGGATAACATAAAACTCACTCTATTCCACTGAGACAGGACGTAGCAGACAAACTGGTTGATGTCTGTGGCCTAATCAAAAAGATTTTTTGAAAAAGATCTTATTTATTTATTTGACAGAGAGAGAGAGACAGTGAGAGAGGGAATACAAGCAGGGGTAGTGGGAGAGGGAGAAGCAGGCTTCCTGCCAAGCGGGGTGCCTGATGCAGGGCTCGATCCCAGGACTACCAGGATCTTTACCTGAGCCGAAGGCAGATGCTCAACGACTGAGCCACCCAGGCACCTCCTACACAAAAAGATTTAAAGGTTATCACTGCCCAAGAAAACTTGAAATGTCTTTAAATCTTACAGTTCGTATGTGACAGAGGTTTTACTATATTTGACAATAATTCTAAAAATATAGATGACATTACTAGTCATGAATTCTGAAGCTCAAAAATCTTTTCCAGGGGTGTCTGGGTGGCTCAGTGGGTTAAGCCTCTGCCTTTGGCTCAGGTTGTGATCCCGGGGTCCTGGGATCGAGCCCCGAATCGGGCTCTCTGCTCAGCGGGGAGCCTGCTTCCTCCTCTCTCTCTGCCTGCCTCTCCTTCTACTTGTGATCTCTCTTTGTCAAATAAATAAATAAAATCTTCAAAAAAAAGTCTTTTCCAAATTATCAGTAATAAAAAAACAAGTTTAAACAATCATGCTAAACTAAATCATCCTTATATAATCATCCAATATTGCAAACCACTGTCATACGAGGAAGAGATCAAGGGTGCCTGGCTGGCTTAGTCAGTAGAACATGTGACTCTTGATCTCAGGGTTGTGAGTTCGAGCCCCACGTTGGGCACAGAGATTACTTAAAAAAAAAGAGAAAGAGGTGTGTGCCTGGGTGGTTCAATGGGTTAAGTATCTGACTCATCAGCTTAGGTTTTGATCTTAAGGTTGTAAGTTCAAGCCCCACCTCATGTTGGGCTCCATGCTGGGCATGAAACCTACTAAAAAAAAGAGAGAGAAAGAGAGATCAAAGTCTATGCAGAAAAGCAAAAAAGGAGAAATAGTGTTATAGAGAGATTCTGGGTACCTGTAATACATAAATTTTTTCCTGGATTTTCAGATATTTACAATTTTTATCAATTTTTAAAAGTTTAAATTTTTCTTTTATTAAATAATCTCTATGCCCAACATGGGGCTCAAACTCACAACCTTGAGATCAACAGTCCCATGCTCTATTGATCGAGCTAGCCAGCACCCCAATTTTAAAAAATCTTATTTTTTAAATTTATTTTTAAAGAAGAGTTTATTCATTTATTTGAGAGGGCAAGAGTGCATGACAGCACAGAGTAGAGTGAGAGAGAAGCAGATTCCACACTGAGCAGGGAGCCCAATGCGGGAGGACTCGATCCCACAACGCTGGGATTATGACCTGAGCTGAAGGCAGATGACTAAGCCATCCAGGCCCCTCTGCAACTTTTTTAAAGATTTTATTTATTTATTGGAGAGGAAGAGAGTGAGAGAGAGCACAAGAGCAGGGGGAGGGACTTTAAAAATGTTTAAATGACTATTTCCATTCTTTCCTTTTGTACCTGGGACAAATTCCTGACTTAATTCCCTCCAGCAAGACAGTACACTCATCCCAGCTGCTGCAAGTGTTGATTACTAAGGACTCACATCTGCACCCTGCTGCAGCTGACACCCGTAGCTTCGGGGAGCCACTTCCCTAGAGATGACTGGGATCTGGACCACCTCCATGACTGACTGATGCTGGGGCCTAAAACCCTTGTCTTATAGCAGGGTAACATACATTCCAGAGCTCCCCAGGAGGTCAGGCCAAGGCTAGATATCTTCTGAAACCACACCTTTGCCTAGCTTCTCTGGCCCTCTCCTGCATCCCTCACTCCCCAACAATTTCCTGAGAGCCAGCCCTTGATAAATTACTTGCTCAGGAATCCCCATCTCAGGCTCTGCTTTTAAGGAACCCCACCTAAATGAGTATCTAATTTTGTCTTCTTTTTCTTAGATGAGTGTCCTAAACTGTAGAAACATCAAGTCCCCCAAATTGTAGATGTATTTCTGGTCCTACTTAGTGGTATCACTGCACAAAGGACACTCTGATTTGGAAGGTGGGGATCTCATTCAGGTGGTTTGAGGAGCAAGGTTGGGTTGCTCACTATTTTAGCAACTTTGATGATTGTTCGTCCTGCCTCTTGCCACCATCAAAGATTTGGTTAAAGGGGTAGGATAAAAGATGAATGAGCTAAGATTAGACGCAGCAGCATTTAACCCTACAACCCAACTTACAGCATTTTATTTCTGGTGTTACTCCAGGGCAAATCTGCAGCCACCAGAAACCAAGGCTCCTGTATCTCTATTTTACTACACAGCTTTCTTCCTCAAGGTTTCCTCGTGAGTTCAAGATAATTCCTGGCATTCCAGCCCTTGTGCCCACATTCCAGGCAGTAAGAAGAAGGGAGAATAGTAAAAGGAGTATCCGTCACTGGGATCAGACCCCTTTAAGGGGGCACTCCGGGGGTCTCTCATAGCATTTCCCTCTATGTGTCTTTGGCCAGAAATTGGTCCTGTTTCCCCAACTAGATGCAAGGGAAGCTGAGAAACGTTCTTTCCGAGAGGTGATTTGCTGCTAGAATACAACATGGAAAATGGCAAGCAGGAGGAGGTATGGAGACTTCACAAAGCAGAGAAAGCTGAAATTTCAGCACTGGCAGTCAGAAAAGCCAAAAGGCAAGACAAAACAACTGTGACACTGGAGGCACCTGTCACTTTGAGGTGACAAGACGAGTTGTAAGCCCATATAAGGAGCAGCTAGTGCTCCAGATGCCGGCTCTATGGTGGTGCATACAGGCAGCTAAATCCTTCCCATTCCGACAGAAGAAGACAGGCATTCTCGATGGAAAAGTTAAAACAGAGCTCCAGCCTCAGGGGTATTTCAGGGAAGTAAGGCAAATGGTAAAATCGGGAGGTTAAGTTAAATTCTGTGTATTGAGTTGTGAGAACCTTTAGTGCCGTGTCCTTACTCAGCTCCTAGAATGACAGCAGCCAGGTCTGAACCTTCCGCAGGAGGATAGAAGGGCTCTCTCTCCTGAAAAATAGAACAACAACAACAAAACAAATTTAAAAAACTAGCCCAGGAGAAAAAAAGCCAAAGATGCTAATATCGGGGTACCTACAAAGTAAGACCTAAGGATAAGTACAGTACAGTGAAGCCACAAGTTAGCACACTCAGCCAAGCTTCCAATCGTTTTTCTTTTTTGATGTTTTTTTCTCTTAAATAAAGACAGAGAGCCAAGAATCAGTAGACTTTTGAAGAATGTCTCTGCCACATCCACCCTATTCCCAGTCTAAAGTCCTGTGAGCATGATTCCTTGAGATACCAGTACCGGACACCTGTTCTAATCCCAAAGCTCTTAGTTCAAGGGCATATCTTGGCCTCAGAGGCTGCAGGTGACTTAAAAAAAAAAAAAAGACTGCTCGTATTCAGTGTCCTGTGTTGGACAATGTTCTACCTTGTTGTTTATCATACACCCCAAGATTGATGGGGGCACACCTAGTTTTCATGAGATGGTCTCTGACACATACCAGGATTGGCTTAAGTGCAGAATTACTCCAGTCTCTCAGCTCCTAAAATTATCCAACGCACCCACTCACCACTATCCTACTGAAAACGAATTACTAGCTTGGTGTCAAACACTGGTTGACACCCACCACTATGGGGGGACAACTATAACCAAAGATTGCAGTACTTTTCTGGGTGATACAGAAAAACAATCGAGTAAGCAAGGCACAGCTCAGTCAATCTCATTGAATTTAACGTGACTGATACACTCAGGAACATGTGAGAAGGCACAGACCGCACAGAAGGGCTCTAGAGAATTCATGGGCCAGAGGCACCCGCCATCTGGGGATGACATTGTCCCCATGGCACACTTTCTCTCTGACAAGAACTGAGGTTCAGAGAGACGTGACTAAGCTTCATTTACTGATGGCAATGTCCACATTAACTACAACCCTAGTAGAAGAAGGCAAGAGGGTCTAGTTTTACCTAGTATGGTTGGATGTACATTCAATGCCTTTGTTTCGTTTCCCCTGGAAGCAGAGGCAGGGACTCAAAGGGCAGGTGACTTCTTTGGAAGATAATGCCAGAAAACAGGGGAGTGACATGGGCAAAAAGAGAAAGCCAATAAAATGTGTATTACTGAATTACTAGACACAGCTAGGGGTCAGTCCTGCGTGGGACCCTCTGAAGAACTCTATAGAATCCACTTGGAATTGTACACCATTGATAAACTGCACATGTAATCAAATAAAACACAGTATCTATATAATATTTAAAGAAAAAAAAATAAAAACTTTATATGATTATATAAAATAATAAAATTATTTTAAAATGTATAATTATAAAAATATAAAATTATAAAAAATATATAAATATGTCCAATAATATATATATTATTATAGTTATATTCTGAAAGAGCACCTAGGTGGCTCAGTCAGTTAAGCATCTGACTTTTTTTTTTTTTTAAGATTTTATTTACTTATTTGACAGAGAGATCACAAGTAGATGGAGAGGCAGGCAGAGACAGAGAGAGAGAGAGAGAGAGAGAAGCAGGCTCCTCACTGAGCAGAGAGCCCGATGCGGGACTCGATCCCAGGACCCTGAGATCATGACCTGAGCCGAAGGCAGCACCTTAACCCACTGAGCCACCCAGGCCCCCAGCATCTGACTCTTGATCTTGGCTCAGATCATGATCTCAAGGTCCTGGGTTTGAGTCACACTTGGGCTCTGCACTCAGCGGGGAGTCTGCTTGAGGTTCTCCCTGCCTTTTCTCCCTCTCCCTCTGCCCCTCCCCTCTCCAAATAAGTGAATAAATCTTAAAAAAAAAAAACTATTATTCTGAGAACTTAAGTTCTATTGGATGTTACTTTGATCAAAAGGAATGGTCCTTTAAATAACATTTAAAATGCCGATGAATGAAATTAAAATTCCTTTTGAAGAGACATCATTTTAAAAGTCTGGAGTTTCTGATGTTGGCTCCAATAGGTGGTTCATTTGAAAATTGGATTAACCTCAAAAGAGCACCCATTTTTTAGGATTTTGGAGGTGGAGGAGAGACTCCAGCCCAAAAAGAAGGAAGGGAACTGCTTCCCAGGAAATGAGAAGGAAAAGGAGGTCTCCACAGGTACTATTTCCTTGGATCAGGGTAGTAATGAACCTCATATTGGAGCGTAGGTAGGTGACTGCCTCCTGGCAGCACAGGAGGCCTGAATAGAAGGAAAAAGCAGCTCTGCTTTTAGACCACGCCCACCCTTGGGAGGGATAATGAGGGAGCTGTTGGCTGGAAATGCTTATTGAGATGTGGTGACTCTTAGCTCAGTGACCGGGTCATTCTTAGAATTTCAGCCATCACCTCTTCTTGCCTTGTGTGTCTGGATCTTTCTTCCTTAAGTTCTTTTATTAGGGAAATGATTTCCTCCATCATGTTCAGGTGTGTTCTCTTCTGCTTCCCATAGGTGTCCACCAGGCTCTGAATTGTTGATGACTCTTTCTTGTATCCTCCAAAGGATACAAGGAGGATAGTATCCAAAGGATACTTTGGAGGCTAGTATCCTCCAAAGATGACTCAATCCTTGCATTCCCCTTTTGAACAAAACCAGGCTTGTCAAGGAGTTGATACTATCTTGAATTACTGCAGCTGGTATTTTTGACATGTTGAGCCAGTATTTGTGAAAGCAGTATTCTCCATTTCATGTAAAGCCAGCTTCTAGCCAACTGGACAAGTCTAAACAAATATGAGGCCCACCAAAGGCGGATGACAGATGCACACACCACTGACGCCAGCTGGAGACCACGGAGGACGGTCCAGATTCCCATCATCCAGCCAGTTTGTGGCTGTACCACCACCACTTGTGGTTTCCCAAGGACACCTGAAGCCAAGCTCTACAGTGGTCTGATGCCCTTCATTAGCACCGAAAGCCTAGAACAGAATTCTGCTGAGTTGTCATGCCTCCACCAGCCCTCACGCCAGCTCCATAACAAACTCCCCCTAGTAATACCTGGAAATATTTCATCCTGCCAACCTGAGCAGTCTACCAGGGGAGCTAATCCAGGGTAAGGAGAGAGTCAATTAAAAAAAAGCTTCTTGTTGGGGCACCTACATGGCTCACTCGGTTAAGGGATCTTGATTTCTGCTCAGGTCATGATATTAAGGTTGGGAGATCAAGCCCAGCGTTTGGCTCTGTGCTGGGCATGGAGCCTGTTTAAGGTTCTGTCTCTCCCTCTGCCTGTGCTCCTTCCACACACCCCCTCCCCACTTCCTCTCTAAATAAAAACCAAAAGGTGATCAATTAGGCTTTTTTTTTTAGTATAATTATGAACTTGTATACTTAAAAATATTTGATATGTTTTAATTCATTTCAGTTACTATTCTGATTGATATTTAAATTGTCCCCTCTTTAGCCAGTGTTGTCTTTCGAATCCTTTTCCCATGACCCCAGAAGACTTTGACGGCTTCTTTCTCTCTGATATGACAAGATATCCAAGGCTTATCTTGTTCATTTCCTGCCCTAGACCTGGCATTAGATACGCTTCCAAAGTCATGGTTCCTTTAAGGAAAAATAATAAAGACTAGAGTGTGGGCTCTAGGGATGCTGAATGCCACTGAGCTGGTCATTGTCTCTAAGTCTTTTCCATAGACAAAGCTAAGAAACATCTTTTTTTAAATTTGAGATATAATTGACATACAACACTGTGTTAGATTTAGGTATATAACATAATGATTTGATACGTGCATATATGAAAAAATGATCACCACAATAAGTATAGTTAATATCCATCACCACACAGTTACAAATTTTTGTTCTCTTGTGATGAGAACTTTTAAGGTCTTCTCTATTAGGAACTTTCAACATACAATAAAGTATAGTTAACTATAGCCACCATGCTGTACAGTACACCCCCAGGACTTACTTTCTTATAACTGAAAGTTTGTACCTTTTGACCTTCTGCACCCATTTTGCCCAATCACCATTCCCTGCCTCTGGAAGCCACCAGTGTGTTCTCCATATCTATAAGATACATTTTTTTTTTTAAAGATTCCATATATAGGTGAGATCACAAAGTATTTATCTTTCTCTGATTTAAGAAATTTTTTTTTAATTTAAGAAATATTTTTTAAGGAGAAAATATATTTCAGGGACGCATGGGTGGCCCAGTTGGTTAAGCATATGCCTGCAGCTCAGGTCATGATCTCAGGGTCCTGGAATCAAGCCCATTATCAGGCTCCCTGCTGAGTGGGGAGTTTGCTTCTCCCTCTCCCTATGCCCCCCTCATACACACTTTTGTGCATGCTAGCTCTCTCTCAAATAAATAAAATCTTTATAATATATAAATATATATATGTATACATATATATATATTTACATTTACATGCAAGAGACTTTTAACTGATCTGCTTGTCACTACTCTCTGTAATTCATCCTGTGCATCTGTCAGAACCATCCTTATAAAATGTAGATATGATTTTATTAATCCCCTGTGTAAAAACTTTTGATGGAATCCCATTACCGAAGGAATTAAGACAAAGCTCCTTGGCGCAGGTGTTGTGCGTGTGCGCGCGCATGTGCGCGCGCGCGCGCGCACACACACACACACACACACACACACACACACATCCTCTTGACATTTAGCTCCTAATCTCCATTCCAATCTCTTTAGCATTCCTTCTTCCGTCCCCTCTTATTAGTTCAGCACAGCACACTATTCCTACCACACTGTGCCTTCGCTCGGCTAGTTCACTTTCTCTGAAGGGCCCTGTTTTTACTATTCCTCAGTGAATTTATACTCATCCTTCAATAAATGGCTCAAACATCGATTTTCTTTACAATAACTTGCAGCCTTCCTTCCCCCCAGAGAGCTAATCTGTTTCCGTCATGTTCTACAAAGTACTCTGAAATCTTTATGTACCATTAATGAAACTGTACTGTAATGATTTGTTTACACGTGCATCTCTCCCTAGTTAGAATGTCTCCCAAAATGCAGGACACTCACTGTTGGTGGTACTACAGATGGTTTTATGCGGCATTAAATATCACCAAATGTTGAATTGCATAGGGTGAGAGCTGGCCCCCTTTTAATAATCTACATTTGGAAAAACATTTTAGTTTGGTGCTAGGGTGGCTTTAGCATCTCTCTATCGTGTGATTAATTTCCCTTTTTAAGAGATAGCAGGCCTCAGCCTTGGAAGCCTTGTAGATAAAGGTAATAGGCTAGAATTTACATTTTTTTAAATAAAATGATATTTTTTAATGATTATCCTCTGTGAAACTTCTAAAATTAATATTGGTGATAGAATGTTCTTTTAAAATAAAAGTAAGCTAGGGGCGCCTCGGTGGCTCTGGCTCAGCGGCTTAAAGCCTCTGCCTTGAGCTCGGGTCATGATCTCTGGGTCCTGGGATCGAGCCCCGCATTGGGCTCTCTGCTCAGCAGGGAGCCTGCTTCCCTTCCTCTCTCTCTGCCTGCCTCTCTGCCTACTTGTGATCTGTGTGTCAAATAAATAAATAATCTTATTTTTAAAAAGTAAGCTAATTTAAAGAAAAATAATAAGCCTATTCCAGTTAAAAAGTACATCATGGCAAAAATCTCGTAGGATATATGAAAATATTTGACTTACGTCTGGGAAACACTGGGCTGGGTCTCTCAGAATTATAAAGCATTACTTCTATTTTCATCCCCAGTTCCTAGCACTATGGTTAACATAGTGATGTTAGTGGTGTTTAGTGATGTTTAGTGATGTTAGTGATGTTTAGTGGTGATCTACCACTAAACAATTGCCAAATTAATTAGGTGAGGAAGAAGCACACACCTCTAACATTTTCAAGACCGAGTGTCATTTTGGGGGAATATGCAGGTAAGTGGCAGGCCTTCTGTAAGCCAATGTTTCTGAAAGAGTTAAATACCATCCATTGTTATCATATAAATGACCTTTTAAATTATTTCCTACAGCTACTGTGGAAGAAATCAACTTCCTAAGAGGATACAATCATAGATGTTTCAACTGGATTGTTGGAATAATGTTTTATAAGCTGAAGTTTGGGGCAACAGAAGAAAGTTTACAATACATTCTAAGCAAATCACCACATCACCCTTCACCTTCAAGGTCATGCATGGTACATTTTAAGAAAGGGTAGACCAGAGCAGCTCTAACTAGAGGAGAGCTAGCACCATCTGTTGGGGAGCGAGCTCCCAGCATTAAGAGAGATTCACGGTCAGGTGACTTCATTAATTCTGAATTTGTTTCTTCAAAGTATTTTCATTGCATAGATTTTAAGATACTCACACATACCCAAGTACAATTTAATTTTCAATCAGTTATTTCTTTTTTGTGGTTAGGATAGACTGTAATTTTTAAAAATGTATTAAATGGAAAGGAAACAGTTTCTGCAAAGGACAATGTATTAAACTCTGCTGTAAATTATTTTCAGATTTTGCCAGTGGTATACTCCTTGGGAGCTTCCTGGTGATTTTGAAAGAACATTAACTTTCCCAAGCCTGTAAGATACCATTTGGTGTCTCAAAGCAATGACTGATTTACTAAATGTCACCTCGCTAAATTCTAGGACCTAGGATAAATGTGTATATATTTGTGAGTCTGGTGACAGGCAGGGCATTCAGTCTTGACCTAAGCCTCTTCCCTACTTCTTTAAAGTACTTCAAAACGTCAAGGAAAGGAAAAAATATGGTTTCATCAGTTACTCATCTCAGCTGGTTTGAGGACCTACACTGGCAGTGTATAAAATCTTCTTTCATTGTCCATGCCTGACCATGTTCCTCCTCAGGCCTTCCAACTAGAAAGCAGCTCACTTACCCTTCTTTACACTTCATATTCAGAAACAAGAAGAGCATATACTTTTCTGTAATATAAATAATTATGGCTCTACAACTAAACTCTTAAATAAAAAATACACACATTTAAGGTGTATGATGATTTGATAAACATACACATATATACGCAGTAAAATGACCACTATAGTCAAAATAATTAACATGTCCATCTCCTCACAGTCACCATTTCCACAACTTACTTTAAATCAATTCCAGCGGGGCGCCTGGGTGGCTCAGTGGGTTAAGTCTCTGCCTTCAGCTCAGGTCATGATCCCACATCAGGCTCTCTGCTCAGCGGGGAGCCTGCTTCCTCCTCTCCCTCTCTCTGCCTCCTTGTGATCTCTGTCAAATAAAAAAATAAAATCTTAAATCAATTCCAGCTACTTTTTAAAAGATTTTTATTTATTTATTCATTTGAGAGAAAGAGTATGTAAAAGAGAGGGAAGGGGAAGGACAGAGGAAGAGGGAGAGGCAAAGAATCTCAAGCAGACTCTCAACCCCACCATCCTGAGATCATGACCTGAGCTGAAATCAGGCATCAGACACTTAACCAACTGAGCCACCTAGGTGCCCCCAATTCCAGCTATTTTTAAAGTTCAAGAGTCTAAATGAACCTTCTTTCACAGTTTAAAACCCTTTCCTCAGAAACCTCCATCAGTAGGAACAGGAAAAAACCCACTTCTCATGCAATGTAAGTCTTTTCATATAATTCGACAAAAGCTTTTCCTTGAACTATAAAGAGCTTTGTAGGATTTTTCCAATTATAAAACGGATTTCAAAAATAATCTGATATGACCAAACATGAGAAGAAAGTAAAAATCAGAGTGTAATGTCTCCACCTAGAAAACAATCCCATTTATATATGGACATACAAATACATATATTTTTAACTAAGTAAGTTCATAGTTTAAAGATTTTTTTTAAATTTTATTTTTCTGACAGAAAGAGAGAGAGAGAGAGCAAGCACACAAGCAGGGGGAGCAACAGGCAGAGGGACAGGGAGAAGCAGGCTCCCCACGTGTTATCCTAGGGCCCTGGGATCATGACCTGAGCTGAAGGCAGATGCTTAACCAACTGAGCCACCCAGGTGCCCCAAATTCATAGCTTACATGGAGTTCTTAGCCTACTTAATAGGTCAAGGAATAGGTTTATTAATAACTAATTTCCCACCAAGACAAGTCTCTTTTCTCCACAACGTCAGTATAGTGGGTTGAATGGTGGCCCCAGAAAAGTTATGTCCAACCCCTAACCCTCAAATATGACTTCATTTGGAAAAAGGGTCATTGCAGCTACAATTAAGACTCTTTTTTGTTTTGTTTTGTTTTGTAATATTTTATTTCTTTATTTGAGAGAGAGAGAGAGAACACAAGCAAGGGAAGCAACAGGCAGAGGGAGAGGGAGCAGCAGGCTCCCCACTAAGCAGAGAACCCGACATGGGGCTCCATCCCAGGACCCTGGGATCAAGGCCTTAACCCAGGTAGCTGTTTAACCAACTGAGCTACCCAGGCACCCCTACTTACAATTAAGAACCTTGACATGAGATCAGCCTGGACTATCTGGGTGGGCCCTAAATCCAATGACAAGTAATCTTATAAGACAGAAGAGGAGGGGCGCCTGGGTGGCTCAGTGGGTTAAAGCCTCTGCCTTCGGCTCGGGTCATGATCCCGGGGTCCTGGGATCGAGCCCCGCATCGGGCTCTCTGCTCAGCGGGGAGCCTGCTTCCTCCTCTCTCTCTCTGCCTGCCTCTCTGCCTACTTGTGATCTCTGTCAAATAAATAAATAAAATCTTTAAAAAAAAAAAAAAAGACAGAAGAGGAGAGGGTCCTATGAAGATGGAAGCAGAGACCGGAGATACGCACCCTGAAGCCAAGGAATGTCTGGAGGCAGCAGGGACTGAAAGAAGCAAGGAAGGATTCTCCCCTAGAACCTTCAGAGACAGTGTGGTCCTACCAACACCCTGATTTCAGACTTCTGACCTCCAGAACTGTGAGAGAATAATTTTCTTTTTTTTTTTTTTCCTTTAAGATTTAAAGTAATCTCTATACCCAATGTGGGGCTCAAACTCAAAATGATCAAGAGTCTCATGCTCCACTGATCCAGCCAGCCAGGCACCCCGTAAATTTCTCTTGTTTTAAACCACTGAATTAGAGGTAATTTGTTATGCCAGCCCTAGCAAACCAGTACACTCAGCATTCCAAATTTCCCTACTCGAAACCCAGCCTGCTCTCCAGCCTCACTTCCCTTGTTCTTCAGCTTTTTACTCCTGCTTGCCTCCCTTCAGTTCCTCTTGCCTCAGAGTCTTTGCACATGCTGTTCCAGGGCATGGATTGCTCTTCTTCATTCTTCAAACACCTTCCCAAGACTTCAGGGAGAAGTTCAGTGACCCTCTAGCCCTGCTTGCCAACCACTGTAAGGTTCCCTTTCAGCAGCATACCATAGTTTATGCATTTATTAGTGTTATTATTAGATTCTGCCCCACTACCAAACTGTAAGCTCCATGAGATTAGGGACCCTGCTCACTCCTTACCGTTATATATTCCCTGTCTAGCCCTGTGCCTGCTGTGCCAAAGCAATTTCTTTTTGAACAAATGGCCACTGTTCTAGAAGTGTTTCTAGAACGTGGGAAACTCTCACACCTTAAAGATAACTGTGAGCGGTGTAGGATGACCCTCCAACTTATCCACTCATATCAACCACGTCTGAGACTAAAAAGGGGGTGCTATCAATAATTACAAGTTACCTGGTTACGTTTCTGGGTAATAGGCTATGCCAACTCTAAGAGCAAACCTGAAGAAGGAGGGTAACTAGAAAGGGCTGGGCTACATTTTGGAACAAGGAAAAGAGGATACTTTAAATTTGCTCAATTGCCGCTGCATTTTCATTGCTTTCTTTTACATCATATAATCAATCGCTCATTCGTTTATTGTTGGACCCTCTCTCTACAGTGTAAGCTCACTGCCGTATCCCACACCTAGCCCAGTTCCCGGTGCAGAGTAGGCACTCAATAAACATCTAAATGAATGTACCCACAGCTGAATACTACGCCTTAAGGGAATAACGGATGAAGAATCAAAGCACAAACAAAACCCGAATCCTCACAATTTGAAAACCTAGGCTCAAGTGTAAAGGGACAGGAGTAGGAAAAATTGCCAAGGCCTTGGGCTGAGGGTGCAGGAATGAAGGCCCCGGTGGCTGTGCAGCAGTTGAACTGTCTTGATCCCCACCCACTCCGAAGACTCTCAACACCCTCTCTCCGGATCCTCTAACTCCCAGCTCAGCTTCAGCTCCTAGGACCCCTCTATCCTTCACGGTACTGCACACTCGGACCCCAGCCGCCCCCTCCCTCGATCCCTCGGACTCTAGCCTCCAAGTCCGCCGCCTCCCCGGATCCCTGCGCACCCGGCACCGCCCCATCCCTAGACCTCCTCGGAACACGGGACCCTCCGCACCGCCCGTCCCCGATCCTCTTTTGCGCCGCCCCCTTCTTCTCAGATCCCCTTGGTCTGCGGGACGCCGCTCCTTCCTCTCCCCGGATCTCTTCGGACCCCGGGACCCCCGCACAGCCCCCTTCCCTTATCCCTGCCGGCCCCCGCACCGCCCCCTCCCCGGATCCCCTTGATCTTCCGGACCCCGCGCCGCCCCCTCCCCGGATCCCCTCTGCTGGGGCCCCGCCCCCACGCGGTCCGCACGGACGGGCTCGCGCCGCGCAGCGCCCCTCCACCCCCGCCCCCGCCCCCGCTCCCGCCTCTGCGGCTGCGCGCTCGCGGGGCCGAGGCCGAGGGGAGGGGGTCGCGCCGGGGGCCGACTGAACTGCTGTGGCGGCAGCGAGAAACGGAGCGAGCCCGGCGGCCGCGGGCAGGCCCGGAGGCAACGGAGGAAACCGTCATGTCGCGCTACACGAGGCCCCCCAACACCTCCCTGTTCGTCAGGAACGTCGCGGACGCTACCAGGTGAGCGGCGGCGGCCGCCGCAGGTTGGCACGCGGGGGAGGGGCGGGGGTAACGACAGCGTCCCGGAGCCCGGTCGCGGCCCGGCGCCTCCCCGCCGCCCCGGCCGGTGCCTTCCGCGGAGGCGCCCTTCCCGGGGGCGGTGCGAGCCCTCGGGCTACTCGGAGCGGGGGCGGGACTGGCTCCTCCGCCCTCCCGGCCCGCGTTCCGCACGGGCGCAGCGCTCTCCCGCGGCAGGGCCCGGCGCCCGGGGGATCGGTGCCCAACCCCTGCTCGAGCACCGGCGGCGCGCAGGCTGCTGCTCTCCCGGTAGCCAAGGTCCCTCCCTGCCCCTGGCCGATAGTGTTTTCGCTTGGTCCCTTTGTCGTCGTGCCCCGGTAAAGCTGCGCGTCCTGCGTCCTAGATGAAGAATTGGGGATGGTGGGAAGGTATAAAATAATGCGTACCTTGGGCCTTACAATTTCGGTTCCCTCAGTCTGGTCTAATTACAGGGGATGCCGGTGAAATTTTATTTGTTACACAATACAAAGGATGGCTTCAGTGAATGAGATTTAAATGTTTTCCTGTAAAGTTCACAGTGCAGCATAAACATCCATGATACTGGTTTGGATAGACTTCCCTGGCCAGTGTGATGCTCTCAGTCCACACATTCTCCTCCCCGCCTTGAGAATTTTTGTCTACATTGTGCTTAAACAAATATTAAGGAATGACTGCTTTATAAAGCACTTTCTCCCTTAATAGACGCCAGAGGGAATGACGGAGAGTGAGATAGGGGCATTAAGAGACGTTTCCGTTTCACTGGGTTTACTTAATTTACTCCCCGCTCAACCTTTTTAGGTGTGCAGTATTATCTTTATTGTACGTAAGGAAAAGCTGAAGCTCAGACTTTTAATGACTTACCTGGGGCTTCATGGCTCCAAATATATTGGAGCCCTTGACTCCAGAGCTGTATGGAGTAATCATAATTTACCTGAGAGGAGTAAATGTTAAATATTTTTTTTTATTTGATCCCTACTATTATGTACATCACAGCTATAGATTGTGAGTTAATATACCTTAATTAACATCTAAAAGATGCCTATGTTTATATTTCTCTTCTCAACCTGTTCATCAATATATTACATAGAAAACAAGCGAAATTTTTAATTTGGGCAGGGCAAAAAGAATTCCCACAGTTGAACAGACCACTTGAATGCTAAATAAGCATCACGCCTCTCCAGTGTGTCTACCAAAAAAAAAAAAAAAAGAGAGGTTTCCAATTCTAATGGCCAGCCAGCCAGGGTAATATGAATGAGTGAAGTTGTCAGCTTATAAGGTAAAATAGAATGGTGTGGACCGTACCAAATAGAAAGAAACAGGTGCCATCTAAAGGGGACAGCAGCTGGTACTACTAGCTCCAGCTAATAACTACTATGTAGACATTTGGACTTATTGCCGTATCATCCTAATTTTCTGAAGAAGTCAGAAAACTGTGTGTGTAAACTCTGTTTCAAAATGGTGGCATTAAGTTGAATCATGAAATTCCCATTTTTGTAGATTTAAAATCTGTAAAATATTAGAGTTTTGGGTTTCATCAGCACACCTTAAAATTTTTTTAAAGGTTGTGCTGGCCAAATAAAACACATCAGCAGGTGACACATGATCTCTGATCTAGATAATCCACCATGAGTAATCAAGACTGAAAACTGAAATCTGTTGATTTCCTTTTACAATTTTTTCACCACTTTTTAGCACTGCCACTGGGGGCAATCATCTAGGAGGTTTGTATTAATGGAATAGTAATCGCTAACATTTGTTGAGTATTCACCATGTGCTAAGGACTGTACTAAACACTTTGCATATACTATCTTATTAAAATTTTCACAATAACCCTATAATGTATATTCTTTATTAATCCCATTTTACAGATTAGAAACAGGCTTAGAGAAATTTTTTTTTTTTTAAGATTTTATTTATTTTATTTATTTATTTTTTTGAGAGATAGCAACAGAGATAGACCATGAGCTGGGAGGTAAGGGAGAAGCACTCTCCGTGCTGAGCAGGGGGCCCAATTCAGGACTCCCATCTCATGTCCCTGGAATCATGACCTGAACTGAAGGCAGCCGCTTAACTGAATTGAGCCACTCAGGTGCCCCTAGAAATTAAGTATCTTACCTAAAATTGCACAGCTACTGAGTACTTTTGTGAAGGTAGAATCATTACGTGTAACCTATTTAAAAGCTTTTGGGGGGGCACCTGGGTGGCTTAGTTGGTTAAATGTCTGCCTTCGGCTCAGGTCATGATCTGGGTTCCTGGGATCAAGTCCCAAAGTTGGGCTCCCTGCTCAGCGGGGAGCCTCTTTGTCCCTCTGCTTTCAGCTACCCCTGCTTGTGCTCTCTTCTGCCTGCACATGCGTGTGCTCTCTTTGTCAAATAAATAAATAAAATCTTTAAAAATAAAAGCTTTTTTGTGTGACGTGGCATGCAGTATAAGTTAACTAGCAATATGGCAACTAGACACATTTTAAAATAGCTTTAATATTTAGTATGCTTATAAAGAAAACCGTTGGGATAAATGTTAAAACAAATGGCATAAAATTATATGATGTGATTTCAATTATATTAATAAATGAAAAAAGGAAAAAGTATAGAAAATGAGCCTGGAAAGAAATCCATTTGAGTGGGTTTTTTTCCTCTTTTCAAATTCTATAGTTTTATAACAAAGCCAAATTTTATTTAAAATGTCTCTTTGTAGTAGCCATTATAATATATGCCATAAAGCACAAGACATTAAAAGTTACTATGGCTTTAGCATAAAATTTGTTAGGGATGAAATTGAGTGCAAGAACCAAAGAAGGATTTAAAAATTTTTAAAGGGACACCTGGCTGGTTCAGTCAGTGGAGTGTGCAACTCTTGATCTCGGGTTGTAGGTTTGAGCCCAATGTTGGTTGTAGAGATTACGTTAAAAAATAAATACAATCTTTAAAAAAATGTATTTTTATTATATAATTTGTATTATTTTTCTTCTCACTGGTGAAGCAAGATCTGGATCAGGAAGAAAACTTAATATCTTTGTTCTTTTACCATGTAGAAGAGCAATTTTTAAAAATTTTCGGATATAGTTTTCGAATGGAACAAAGTAATGTCCAAATCCCAAATAAAACATTCCCATTTTGATGCATAATATCATGTCAGGTTGGGGAGCCACTATCAGGTACCCTCTTTTGGACATAGTAGCATTTTTTGCTTACAGTGTATATAAGGCTATATTGATTTTGATGGTGGTATAGAAAAAGCGTTAAACAGAATTCAGCAAGATTCATGAGAAAAAGTGTCAGCGAATTACAAATAGAAGGGAACTTCCCCTGCCCAATAAATGGCATGTATGAAAAGCCTGTTCTTAACAAGATACTTAATGGTATGAACTGAATGCTTTCTCCCTAAGATCAGAACAAGCCAGGGGTGCCTAGGTGGCTTAGTCGGTTAAGCGTCCAACTCTTAATGTCCAGCTCTTGATATCAGCTCAATCATGAGATTGAGCCCCAGGTTGGGCTCTGAGCTTCATGTGGAGTTGATTGAGATTCTCTCCCTCTGCCGCCACCCCCATTCACTCTCTTTTTCTCTCTAAAATAAATCTTAAAATAAGCCAGGGTGCCTGGGTGGCTCAGTGGGTTAAGCCTCTGCCTTCGGCTCAGGTCATGATCTCAGGGTCCTGGGATCGAGCCCCGCATTGGGCTCTCTGCTCAGCGGGGAGCCTGCTTCCCCCACTCTCTCTGCCTGCCTCTCTGCCTGCTTGTGATCTCTCTCTCTCTCTGTCAAGCAAATAAATTAAAAAAAATAATAATAAGCCAATGATGCCCACTCATACAACCTCAATTCATCATTTTGTTGCAGGTCCTAACCAGTGTAACAAGGCAAGAAAAATAAATAAAAGACATAAAAGTTATAAAGCTAGAAACAAAATTTGCCCTATTCTTAGGCAACGTGTTTTCATAAAACTATAGTAAATAATGAGTTTTAGTAAGTTTAAGATACAAGATGAACTTATGAAAAATCTATTCTATATATTAGCAGCAAACAATTGAAAATAAAAATTTTAAAACAGTTTCTTTTGCCTTAGTATCAAAAAAACAGACTTGGGACTAAGTTTAAGAACAACAACAAAAAATACATAATAAAAACCTTTGCGTTAAAAACCACAATACAGGGGTGCCTGGGTGGCTTAGTGGATTAAGCCGCTGCCTTCGGCTCAGGTCATGATCTCAGGGTCCTGGGATCGAGCTCCACATCTGCCTCAGCATCCCTGCTGAGCAGAGAGCCTGCTTCCCTCTCTCTCTCTGCCTGACTGTCTGCCTACTTGTGATCTCTCTCTCTGTCAAATACATAAATAAAATCTTTTTTTTTTTTAAGATTTCATTTATTTGTTTGACAGAGATCACAAGTAGGCAGAGGGGCAGGCGGGCGGTGGGGGAGCAGGCTACCCGCTGAGCAGAGAGCCCGATGTGGAACTCGATCCCAGGACCCTGAGATCATGACCTGAGCCGAAGGCAGAGGCTTAACCCACTGAGCCACCCTGGTGCCCCCTAAATAAATAAAATCTTAAAAAAAAAAACAAACACAATGCAGTGCCAAGAGAAATTAAAGAAAACATAAATTGATAGATATACCATGTTTGTAGAATGGAAGACAAAATAGTAAGTTACCAGTTTCCTCCCAAATTGATTATATTGTAGATTCAAGGCATTCCTGATTAAAGGCTGTTTAAAAAATAGAAACTGGGGTTGCCTAGCTGGCTCAGAAGAGTGTGCAACTCTTGATCTTGGGGCTCCAAGTTCGAGTCACACATTGGGTATATAGATTACTAAAAAAAAATAAACTTTGAAAGAACAAAACAAATAAAAAAATAGAAATTGACAAGTTAATTCTAAAATATATTGATATACAAAGGAATCTAGAAAAAGATTACTTCTCTCTTTCTCTCTGCTGCTCCCCTTTCTTATGCTCCCTGCCCCATGAAATAAATAAATAAAATCTTTAAAAAAAAAATGGGCAAAAAACTCCCAACAGACACTTCACAAGAAAAGGTAGCACATGAAAAAGTGCTCAAAATAATTTGTACTTTGGGAAGTGCAAATTAAAACCACAGTGAGATTCCACTTATACCCACCTGAATGGCTAAAATTTAAAAAAACAACAACAACAAACAACAAAAAACAAACCTGACAAACCAAGTGCTCACAAAGATTGGCACAACTGAAACCCATATATTGTTGGTGGGAGTATAAAGTGGTACAACCACTTTGCAGAACTGTTTGGCAGTTTCAAAAAATTACATATATACACTTTAACCCAGAAATTCTGCTGGTAGGTATTAACAGGAAATTATTGGTCCATACGCATGAAAAGATGTTATATCTAACTGGTTGTTAGGTAAATTAAAATTAAAACATCAACAGTCCATTAGGATGACAAGAATTTAAAATGTTAATGAAGTGGAGCAGTAGAAATTCTTAGGCAAGTGTTGAGTATAAATTGATCTGGTCACTTTGGAGAATGTGTAGTGAAGCTGAAGATAAGCGTACTCTCCAACTCACCAACCGCAGAGTGATACATCCCAGGGATCTCATAGAGCTCCCCGGAGCTCATGTATGATAATGTATGCTGCAACACAGTTTGCAATTTTTAAAAAAGGCAGCATCTTCAATGTTTATCCAGAGAAAGACGGATTAGTAAATTGTGGTTCATTGATAATACCAATACAAAGTTAAATTAAGTGAAGCAGAACTACATAGAAAAATCTCAAGGGAGGAGAAGGTAAGGAGCAAAATTATTCAAATTGTCTGGTACTCTTTATATAAAATTTGATATATATAAGAACACTTAATTATGCATATATTCATTTGCAGTAATAACAGTTATGGAGGGGTGCCTGACTTGTTCAGTCAGTAGAGCCTGTGACTCTTGATCTTAGGGTTGTGAGCTCAAGCTCCATATTGTGTATAGACTTTACTTAAAAAGTAAAATCTTAAAAAAAATACAAAGTTATTCAGAGGAATGATGAATACTGATGATTGTTTCTCAGGTAGAAGAATGTAAATGTAAATATCTCATTTCCAAAAAACAATTCCTGAAAATGATGACAAGTGTTGAGATATAGTAAATGCTGTTGGTGGATACATCGATGTTTGTTTTATGCTCTATTTTCTGAATGTCAAAATTGATGACACCGAAAATATAAAAATTAGAACAAAACAATAGCTAACAGGTGTAGAAGTGGGGACAGTGAATGGGAGCTAGCTCTTCTGAGAAGTTTGACTTCTTCAGACTCCTGTCACCCTTGGCTTCTGGGATTCCAAGCCTCCACGACACACATTACTCCAATCTCCTTTTATACTATCTAGGATCCTTTTCCTATCAGCCACTCACATTTGGTTGATGGGATTGATTGTCTCAGAAAATACTCATTTGTATTCTAGCTTTGCTCTTGGCTCTGTGTACCAATGTGCAAAGTAATTTCTTTCATTCTCAGTCTCCTTGACTACTAAATAGGTAGCAGTAATATCAAATGGTGACTCAGTATTTTGAGTGCCTACTTTGTGCCAAACAACTAGTACACTGGTGAAGACACCCATTTTTTTTTCTTTTTTAAAGATTTTATTTATTTATTTGACAGAGAGAGGAAGAGATCACAAGTAGGCAGAGGGGGAGGGGGAAGCAGGCTCCCCGCCAAGCAGAGAGCCCGATTCGGGGCTGGATCCTAGGACCCTGAGACCATTACCCGAGCTGAAGGCAGAGGCTTAACCCACTAGGCCACCCAGGTGCCCCGAAAACACCCATTTTAAAAGTGATCCTAAACACTGATTCTCAGAATTGCCTGTGAAACCCTTAAAAAAATTAAATCTAACCGGGGCCCACTTTGGAAAGCACTAATTGGGTCCAGGGTTGTTAATGCATCAGGCTGGAATACCTGTTTCTGTAACATTTCCTTTACAGATGATTCCAATGTTCAGGAATGGTTGAGAATCATTACTCTCTAGTCCATGTTCACAGGTAGCAAGAATCGTTTTCCTTGTTTTCCATCACATCCCTAGAGTTTGCCCATAGTAGTTGCTCAAAAAGTACTTGTTGGATGATTAAATGAAAGAAAAAGACATTGTCACTACCCTTGAAAGACAATAGTTTCAGAGAATGCAGACAATTAAATGTTTTATAGTAAGTATTAAATGAATAAAAATACTAATAAAAATAAAGTATGTTTTGTCAGTTGCACTGCCTGGTATATAGTGGACATTTAATCATAGTTGAATTCACATCTCTAGCTTTATTTTTTTAAAGATTATTTGTCAGAGAGTATACAAGCAGGGGGGGCAGCAGGCAGATGAGGAAAAAGGCTCCCTGCTGAGCAAGAAGCCTGATGTGGGACTTGATCCCAGGACCCTGTGATCATGACCTGAGCCGAAGGCAGCTGCTTAACCAACTGAGCCATCCAGGCATCTCTCTCACATCTCTAGCTTTAATCACTGACTTCTAGTTTGGAGAAGAAAATAAAATTAATTTGTATAATCATAATTTTTGGTTGTTTCCAGGACTCTCTTTTTTTTTTAAGATTTTATTTTATTTTATTATTTAAGTAATCTCTATACCCAACATAGGGTTTGAACTTTGAACCCAAAGATGGAGTCACATGCTCTGCCTGCCAAGCCAGCCAGGTGCCCCCTCTAAAGAACTGTTATGAATGTTCTACCATCACCTCAAATCCAGCAGTTCTTTTGCCTCCCTCCTCCCTCTTCAACTCTCTTTACCAGTTGTCTAATTTTTGTCACTGACACCATCTTTCTTCCATTTGTCCAGGTTAGCAGTTTTGCAGTCATCTTTGAGTCTTCTTTCTGTACAATATCTTTTGAAGTACTCTTACTTTTCTAAGCCATGTTTTGTGCTCATAACTTGGTGTTGAACCTCTAAGATCTTCATGAGGCAATAGGTAGTGGTTAACACAGACTAGTGTCAGGTTGTGGAAGTTTGATTCTAGTTCTGTCATTTGCTGGCTTGGTAACCTGAGGTGAATTCATCTGTCTCTGTTCTCATCTGTAAACAACCATAGGGTGGTTGTAAAAATTAACAAGTCTTTTTTTTTTTTTTAAGGTCTTTTTTTTTTTTTTTTTTAAAGATTTTATTTATTTGTCAGAGAGAGGGAGAGAGAGCAAGCACAGGCAGACAGAATGGCAGGCAGAGGCAGAGGGAGAAGCAGGCTCCCTGCCGAGCAAGGAGCCCGATGCGGGACTCGATCCCAGGACACTGGGATCATGACCTGAGCCGAAGGCAGCTGCTTAACCAACTGAGCCACCCAGGCGTCCCAAAAATTAACAAGTCTTAAGGTGAACTGTGGCTCCATTATAAATGCACTACCATTCTCAGCTATAGTAGCTAAGTATTTCATCTCTTGAGTTAGATTGTTGCTCCATGAAGACAAATATGCTAAATAATCCTTTGGTGTCCCCTCTTTACTACCTATGACATATAGCAGGTTTAAAAACATTTGTCAAATTTAAGAATACTGTAGTTATTTTGCTTTATGTTTAAAAGTAAAACATCCATTTTTCTTTAAAGCCTGAAAAATAATTTTAGAACTTCTTTAGAATCTAATTCTTGTGATCTGAAAACAAAATAAACATAAACATAGAATTATAGTGAAGCAAATGAATGTGTCCTTAATGAAATAGGGTCAATAGATCTCTTTGTATTGACAATTGAAGTACGTTATAATAGAAATAATTTTCAAAGATGGATAATAACTTTCCTGGGTCATTGTTTCCCCAATCTGATTAAACATAACAGCCACCTGGAGTGCTTATAAAAATACAGATTTCCAGCCCCTAACCTAGATCTTTTAAATCAGAACCTCCAAAAATGAGGCCTGAGGATTTGTTTTCTTTTTTCTTCCTTTCTAAACCCTGGGTGATTCCTATGACAATTTTAGAAAATACTAGTTTAGATAATATACTTTTGAAGGTTTCAACTGGATTTCCATAGGCAAAATATTTTAATCCAGATATTCATATTTCTTTGCCTTATTTCTAAAACACTTCAGGCCTGAGGACTTGCGCCGTGAGTTTGGTCGATATGGCCCTATAGTAGACGTTTACATTCCACTTGACTTCTACACCCGCCGCCCAAGAGGATTTGCTTATGTTCAATATCCTTTGTTTTACTGTATGCATGTGAATATACTGTATACATGTGCAGATGCGCATGTGTATTCAGGAGCATATGTTGTATGAGATTAATATTGCCTAATTAAATGTGTTTATTTCTTTATCTCAGAAAATCTAAAGCAGTCCACAGTAGCTGGCAAGCGCCCCCCAGTTTGAACCAACCTGTTAGCTAGAATCCAAGCATAAACCGAGCAGGCGAGAAAAAAGGCACCTAAAGTCCAAGCATCAAGGAGTAAAGAGGGAGGGTGGACACAGATATAAAGACCTGGAAGAGGGGAAGTCTTTATCAAGCAAAAGACAAAGCCAACACCAGGTTGAGACTTCGGCTTTCCTACATTTATTCAGAGTTCCAGAGTCAAAGCCAAGTCTGATTTTGTTGGTTCTTCGTCTCTTATAAAGTCCATCTTGCAAGCCTTAAAGAGTAAAGGTCAAGGTTCAAGATCAAGTGACATTGAGGTAATTGCCAAAGTCTCATTTTGTATTGCATTTCTTGAGCTTTTTCTGTTTTCTATTTAAAAAAAAACAAAGAGTGAACAACCTCCTGAAAGACAGCTATTTAGTCATTTTATACAGTTTATTTCCATTTTAGTTAGGTTTAATATATAATTTATGTAGATAAGGAAGTTTAGTGGGATATTACAAACCAGTATATGTAATTCCGGATGTTCACAGATTGCTTTTGTGTTTCTTTTATAATTATATCCCAAGTAATAAGAACATAAAAGTATTTTAAAGTAGTAGGTTCAAAAGTAAATATCATTTTTAAAGGTATAATGTTTTAGGGTACATGTGTTTGTGTAGTTTTGTTTGTAATAAGTAATTTCTCCTAAGCATCATAATTAAAATACCTTTTAGTGAAAAAGTAATTGTAATTTCAGAATAAAGGCTTTTGCGTGCTGACTTGTTCAGTGAAAAACCTGAAAGAAGGGAGTGAGTCCTATACAGTTTATTTTTTAATACTAGCCAGGGTTGGACTTACTTTTTTTTATAACCTGTTTGACATTATACACGCATACTACAACTACATTAAAGTGTACATTAAAAATATAGTTAAGTGTTTGTTTCTGTTCTTACTTTTAGATAGGTTCTTCTAAATCATAAGGGGGCATTTGTTTTCATAATAAAGGTGAAATTCTTTCTGCCTATATATATATATGTGTGTATATATATATACATATATATATTGGAGATGTAAGTTTAATAACTTGGGAGTTGTTTTTCCTATTAATTTCATGTCACATGTAAATTATTCTTTAAAAATAACATTTTTTACTTGATATCTGATGTTCAAAGTATCCTTAACAGCTAGTCATATTTGAAGATGTTCGCGATGCTGAAGATGCTCTTTATAACCTCAATAGAAAATGGGTATGTGGCCGTCAGATTGAAATACAGTTTGCACAAGGTGATCGAAAAAGTAAGTTCAACTAAACATTAGATCTTATTTATTCAGCAGAATGAGTTTTAGTTATGACAGATTTTTCCTATTTCAAATTCTTTCGGAAAATAATACTGTTAAAGTAGCTGTTACTGAGGTTTTTCAGGTAACAAATTATTTCATATTCTAGCACCAGGCCAGATGAAATCAAAAGAACGTCACCCTTGTTCTCCAAGTGATCATAGGAGATCAAGAAGCCCCAGCCAAAGGAGAACTCGAAGTAGAAGTTCTTCATGGGGAAGAAATAGGAGACGGTCTGATAGCCTTAAAGAGTAAGTACAAATATAAGAGGATTGAAAAACTTAATTTTCTACTTTCCCTGGAAGACATTTTAAAGAGTTTTCAGAAACAGGCCACAAGAATAATTTTATCTGGGACGCCTGGGTGGCTCAGTTGTTTAAGCGGCTGCCTTCGGCTCAGGTCATGATCCCAGTCTCGCATCGGGATCGAGTCCCGCATCGGGCTCCTTGCTCCACAGGGAGCCTGTTTCTCCCTCTGCCACTCTGTCTGCCTGTGTTCACTCTCTCTCTCTCTGACAAATAAATAAAATCTTAAAAAAAAAATCATTAAAAAAAAAAAGAATAATTTTATTTAATATACATAAAAATCAACTTTTTTTAGAAAAATATGCTCTTAGGGTGCCTGGGTGACTTGGTTAAGTGTCTGTCTTTTGATTTTGGCTCAGGTCATGATCTCAGGGTTGTGAGATCGAGCCCTGCATCCAGCTCCATGCTTAGTGTGAAGCTCAAGATTCTCTCTCTCCCTCTTCCCGCCCCATCCTCTCTCTCTCTCTCTCTTTAGGGAAAAAAAAAAAAAAAAAAAATGTGCTATTCTCTATTTGGAATGTATTGTTACTTAACTTGGGTTTATTGGATAACTTCCAGTGTTTTTATTTCATGGAAGATTTAACTTAGACATTTTTAATAGAAAAATAATAGGTACTGAAGAAGAAAACCAAATCTTAAAATGTGTACTTGACAAATAAAATGAGGAATTTTATTTTAATTTGAAAGATTTTATTTATTTATTTGACACAGATAGTGAGAGGGAGGGCACAAGCCGGGGGAGGAGCAGACCAAAGGAGAGGGAGAAGCAGCCTCCCTGCTGAGCAAGGAGTCCCACTCAGGTCTTGATCCCAGGACCCTATGATCAATTTCAGTTATTGTTTAAATAATAACTGAGCTGAAGGCATACGTTTAATGAACTGAGCCACCCAGGTGCCCCAAGGAATTTTAAATAAATAAAATTTTCCTAACTGAACTCAATAATTAAAAATCTTAAGTTCTGGTGAATAAAAACTCATAAGAAATAGAATGAATCACTTGTGAAAGGTTGAAACTAAAATTAATGTAAATCAATATATTTATAAGAGATAAGTTATTTTCAAAAATAAATTCAAAATATGGTATTATTATAAGAAGACATGAAAATAATAGTTTTGAAAAAGATATTTGCATGTTGTCTATTTTGTTAGCCAAGAGTTTGTTTCTGTTAGAATCATAGTAAACCACAATGGAAATTAATTATTTGGTAAAGCTATTTAAATAACTGAAATTGTATTAGCATGCCTAAAGCCTTAAATAATTTAGTATTTATCTGGAGTTTTAATGTAGAATTTTAAGGTAAATTCTGTCCTTGCAGCACCTGGATGGTTCAGTTGGTTAAGTGTCTGCCTTCAGCTCAGGTCATGATACCAGGGTCCTGGGATTGAGCCCTGCATCAGGCTCCCTGCTCAGTGGGGAGTCTGCTTCTTTCCTCCTCCTCCTCTTCCTTGTGCTCTTTCACTCTCTCTCTAATAAATAAATAAAATCTTTTTTTTTTTTTTAAGATTTTATTTGACAGAGAGAGATCACAAATAGGCAGAGAGGCAGGCAGAGAGAGAGAGAGAGGAAAGTAGGCTCCCTGCTGAGCAGAAAGCCCGATGCGGGACTCAATCCCAGGACCCTGAGATCATGACCTGAGCCGAAGGCAGAGGCTTAACCCGCTGAGCCATCCAGGCACCCCAATAAATAAAATCTTTAACAAAAAAAAAAAAAAAAAAAAAGTAAATTCTATTCCTAAAGGTTAGCACTGGGGTTCCTGGCTGGCTCAGTTGGTGGAACCTGCCATTCTTGATCTTGGGGTCATGAGTTCTAGCCCCATGTTAGATGTAGAGTTTACTTTAAAAAAAAAAAAAAAGGAATGATCAGCATATACACTAATATTCTCTTTCTGTGAGTAGTATGCTTATCTGGGGAAAAATAAAAAATGTCTATTGTCCCAAGTCATCATGGAACATCAGGAATATAATGAACCCCATCCTGTAAGACAATACTCTTTTGCTTTAGACTCATTATAACATCATTGCTTAACCTCCCTGACCTGTTTTTTCATTTGTAAAATTGTATCATAAAGAATGCAGATCTTACCTGGCTCTCCTTATATTTGTAAGGATCAGATTTTGTGTCTGCATGTGTGTATATGTAAATGAAGCAGAATTCGTATAAGCCTAACAAAATGATAAGCAAATACAGTATATGTGGTATTATCTTAGACTAAAAAGAGGCCTCTTATTTTGTTTTTAGTGGATATGGATTAAAAAAACAAACTAGTTTGTTGCTGTCCACTGGATTATGATGAACTCTTTGAGGGGCAAGGAGTTTTGTTTTATTCATGCTTATATCCTCAGCACTTAGCAGTAGTCCCTAGCTCATGTTAGCCATTCCATACATTTTTGTTGAATTCATACTTCAGTGTATATATATATTCCTGAAAAATTGCCCCTCAGCCTTCTTTAGTAACATCCCCCTTTTTTTTCCCCCTATGTTGGATTTTTTCTGAAGGACAATTTTCCCATTTGGCTTTCTATGACAGGAATGAAATTTAATAATTTCTTTCTTTTTTTCATTAAGAGAGGGAAAGAAAAGGTTGGGGAGAAGCAGAGGGAGAGACAGAACCTTAAACAGGCACCACACTCATTGTGGTGCCTGACATGGGGCTTGATCTTACCACCCTGAGATCATGATCTGAGCTGAAATCAAGAGTCAGATGCTTAAACGACTGATCCACCCAGGTGCCCCGAAATTTAATAATTTCTAAAAGCTTCTGCTTTTATTCCAGAATATATTCTCGATCAGTATATTTATACTGTCCGGTGCTCTTTATTCCTTCATATAATTCCATGCTTCTATCTGAGATTATTTTCTTTCATCCTAAAGAAGTTTTAGTATTTCTTACAGTATAAGTCTGCTGGCAGTGAATTCTTTCAGCTTTTGTTTATCTGAAAAATCTTCACTTTATATTCACTTTTTTTTTTTTAAAGATTTTATTCATTTATTTGACAGAGATCACAAGTAGGCAGAGAGGCAGGCAGAGAGAGAGAGAGAGGAGGAAGCAGGCTCCCCGCTGAGCAGAGAGCGGGGCTCGATCCAAGGACCCTGGGATCATGACCTGAGCTGAAGGCAGAGGCTTCAACCCACTGAGCCACCCAGGCGCTCCTATATTCACTTTTGGAAGGATTTTTTTGCTGGGGTTAGAATTCTGAGTTGGCAGGGACTTTGTATGTATGTTATGTATGTGTGTATGTATGTAAATAATCTCTACACCCAGTAGGGGGCCTGAACTCAGGATGCTGAGATCAAGAGTCGCATGCTCTACTAACAGCAAAGCAGGCACCCCTTTCCCCTGCTTTTAAAAATATTATTCTATTGTTTCTTGATATTTATAGTCAGCTGTCAGTCTTAATGTTGCTCCTTTGAAGGTATTGTGTCTTAAATTCTGGTTTCTCTTCAAATCATATAGATCTTTCACCTTTCACTAAAAAATTTCCATGGAGAGGAAAACTGGCTCTTAAACCACTTTTTCGAGGCCTTGTTTTAACAGGACTGTAAAAAAGTAAATAATTAATTAAATAAAGGTAATGTGTCTTATTCTCCAGGGTTTACTGAGCATCTTGAAATTGTGAGTTGATACCTTTCACTAATTTGGGAAAATTCTAGGTCATTATCTCTTTAAATATTGCTTCTGCCTCATTCAGTTTTTCTTTTTGACTGTGTGACTATGTTCTGTATTATCTCTTACACTCTGTTATGGATTTCTTAAAATTCCTTTTCTTTCCTTGTGTTTCAGTATTTGTTGTTTTACAGTTCAGTTCATTTTTTCTTCTGTTGTATCTAGATTGCTGTTATATTGATCTAATGACTTAAATTTCAGAAATATATTTTTAGTTCTAAAATGTCCATTTGTTTCTTTCTATAGATTCCAGTATTCTCTTGGATGTCTCTCTTTTTAAATCTGTTTGCCTGTCTTTTCTTCTTACTTCCTTGAGCCTACTAGTCATAGTAATTTTTTTTAATTCCTGTCTGAATAATGCCAGTATCTATATTACTTTGCATCTGGGTTTTGGGTTTTATTTTGGTCTTTTATTTCCTTAGCTTTTAGTAATTTTTATCTATTTTTCACATACCTCATAATGTCTTTATTGAATGTTGGACATTGTTGATGAAAACTTAAAACACTTTGGGTGATACCCTCCAAAGAAAGTTGTTTTCTTCTAGCAGGTGGAGTATTGGCAGATCACCTTGATCCTCTCGAGGCTTGGTTTGAGGCATTGTTAAGGCTGATTTAATTTAGCTTTATACTTATTCTTAGGGTGTGGTCATTACCTGTAGGATATGGTCCTCATGGGTTCTTAACTGAAAGCCTGAATTGTTACTTTCGGTTCCTTGACCTTTTGGTGGCTTAAACTCCAGTCTCTCTCCCCAGCACTGTGTGTCTGATAGAATTTCAGCTTAATTCCTGAATCTTCCAACTGCTATTTTTGCTGACTTCTTGGAGTCTGATCCTGTACTTGCACAGCTTAAAAGATGGCCAATGACTTGAAGAAAATTTATAGGAAAATTTTAGGAGATTTTTCTGTCTGCCATTCCCTCCTTGAGATTTTGCCTCTTTAGTCCCAACCATTTTGGTAAATCTGAATCCTAACTTGTCTCTCCAGCTTAGTCAGATAGCCATTTTCTGTTTGGGTTCAGTTTCCCCATCAGCACTTGGAAAATGGTCTTAGATAAAAGAGCCATGGCTTGTAACCCCTCAAGTTCTCCTAGGGTTGGTTATTCTCCAGTGCCTTTAAATATAATGTTATTTAGCTTCTTTATATAGTTGTTTTCCACGGGAAGTTTAGTCTCATACGCATTTTTCTATCATGGCAGGATTCAGAAGTCCTGCATCTAGATTTTGTGTTTGTCTTTATAAGCATTATTTGACAAACTTTAATTACTTTCTCTTTTTTTCTTTTTTTTTTTTTTCTTTCCTTCAGATTTTCGTACGTCTTGGGAGTTGTATAACCCAGATTAAACATGCAGGGCATTTTTCAGAACTGACCCATATCATAAGATAAATCTAGCAAGGCAGATTTGGTCATAGATTCTAGTATAGCAAATATTACAAACTTGTTACTTATGTTTGAACTAAAAGCATGCAAAATAAAATTAGAATTGTTTCTTTTAGTTTATCCAGGAAAAACATAACTAATATTATGTAAAGTGTATAAATTCCTGAAATTGCTGTTTCCTAACTTTTCATTAAATGTTTTTGTGTGAAATACATACTCTTAACATTCATAATGTTTGCAGGTCTCGACACAGGCGATTTTCTTATAGCCAATCTAAATCTCGTTCCAAATCACTACCAAGGCGGTCTACCTCAGCAAGGCAGTCAAGAACTCCAAGAAGGAATTCTGGTTCTAGAGGACGGTCAAGGTCCAAGTCCTTACCAAAAAGGTCCAAGTCAATTGGAAAATCACAATCAAGTTCACCTCAAAAGCAGACTAGCTCAGGAACAAAATCAAGATCACATGGAAGACATTCTGACTCCATAGCAAGATCCCCTTGTAAATCTCCCAAGGGGTATACCAATTCTGAAGTTAAAGCACAAACAGCAAAACACTCTCATTTTCGATCACATTCCAGATCTCGGAGTTATCGTCATAAAAACAGCTGGTGAACAGCCGCAGAAGAGCGCTACGTAGTCTTGAATGTGTTATTAAACCTCTCATTATGTTAAATAAAAATTCTTCAAGGCTTATAGAAAATGTGAGTTACTTTGGGCATGTGCAACAAATAAAATCTCTAGTTCTGGGGTAATAAAGACTTGGTCTCAATTGAAAGGGCCCATACCACAAATTATGATGTGTCTGATATGTCACCATTTTATGGACCATTTTTTTGTTTACATTGTGGCAGAAGGATACTTTTCAAGGGAAATGGGTAAAATGGAACTAATGTGGAAAATCCTACTTGGATATGAAGTATTAGTAATATTAATGATACCTTTTACAAAAATATTTTTTCCTTTAAAGCACTTTTACTTTCATGTAAAAAGTAATTATAACTGTATAATTATATAGGGCAGACTTAAACTACTTGATACCTTGATGACTCTCTTGTATCTTCTGTTTAAACTTGGGCCAGTTCCTAGTGGATATTAGTTCATATTACAAAATTCTGACATTCCTAAAAGTAGAGATCAAGTGTTCAAAAAATACATTCTCTCCTGAGCTTAAAAAAGCTTTTATTTTTACTGTGTGGAACAGTATAGATAAATTGACATTAAGTTGCATCCTGTACCATGTTCATTCACTTTCAGAAATAGGAAAATGTTTTAAAAAATACTGAGTTTTGAATGGTTGGAGACTACTTCTCTAAAAATTCTGTGCAGGACTCATTATCCAAAAATACTCATATTAAGCCTTATACATTTGAAGAGTGGTACATTTTGTATAAAAATAGTTTTTTTAACATTATTTCTACATATCTACTTTTCATCCACTACTTAATTTTTTCTTTTTGGAGTTCCAGCTCAAGACTTTAAATTGCATAGAGTAAGTCCTGTTATTTTTGAAAGTGTTTAGTATCTTGTATTAAAGAATTCAAGACTGCATCCTCAATAAGCTTTGTGGTATTCAGATTTACTTTACATGCTCTTCATTTTTATAAACCAAATAACTTTATTGATATTGCTTTTGTAGTTGTTATAACTGAGAATTTCTTTAAAAATGTGTTTGTAGTTTACGTTTTTCAGAGGGTTTTGGTAGTATTTGTGATAAAATGGTTTTGCATATGATTATTTTAGGGGATATATTTATAGAGTTCTACTTGTGTACTTTGTTGAAGTATATTGAAAATTAAAAGTTCTCAGCCCATATAGTTAATATTTGTGACTAGAGTGCTTAAGGAAAAAAATCTGTCTTATATTTTTGTCATATAGGAGCCAGTATTGCTTCTATTTTTTTTTTTAATACTAATTCCACTTTTCATTGCATTTTAGACCCTATTTAAGAAACAACTTTACAAAATAATTTATATGCTGGTAATATTTGGACAAGTACCATAAATTCATGTAAACTGTACAGTACCTTCTGAATACACTTTCTTTAATCATTAATAGAATTAACTTCAAAACTACAACTCTTTGAAGTGTTCAGCTGTAATAAAATTTAGTCATAAAATTATGTGGCACTGTTGAAAATCTAAAGGATAGTCCAAAGAAAGAACAGACAAATAGTAATGTTTTATATTTTCTAAATAAATGTTTGGGTTTATCCACACAGTTACCTGAAATACTGTTATTTGAAATACTAAGTAGGAACTGACTATAGTGTCTATACTTTGCATTTGATTATATCTTAGTAAAAATTTAATACAGCAGTATTTCTGAAGATTCTTACCCTTTAATTTACCTCTGATTTGGTTTTCCATTGTAATCTTCAGGCTGCTTAGGAGGATACTATTTGATTTGATGGAAAAACTGGAATAATAGTTGAGACTCTTTTTGAACATTTACTTGGCACTGCTCTGTAAGTTTTACATTATTTGCTCATCATCACAACAGCTCTATGAGATAAATACCACTGCAGATAAGGAAAGGGGATGCAGAGAGGCTCAGTGATACCCACTAGGTCACATTATTAGACTTGGGAGTGGGCAGTGGCTGGGCTCCAGACTTGCCCCTCCCTGACTGTGATGCTTTGACAGATATATGCTAAACTGAGATAATGTTTAGAGGGAAAGGAGAGAATAGAATTAGAAAAATAAATGATTATAAGCTTTCAGTGTAAATGGGTTCTGTGACTAAGTGGAAATTGACAGTTGTGCTGGTTCCTTGAGAAATTGTCTTCTGGGTATATCTCTTCTAGGATTCACTTTTGTTATAGAATTGTTTCTTGGACCATTTAGGAGAGGATACTTAGGATAAGACTGTTAATAAATAAAGCAAATGTTTCACACATCTGTGATCATTTCCTTTAAAGATAATATATTTACTCAGGTACTTCCCAAGTTTAGTATAGGAGAACTAGCTGTCTACATTTGTTCAGGGTCAGAGGATAAGTTAATATTAAAAAAAAAAAAAATGGCCACTACAACTGTTTATTTTCTTTCTCCCCATAAATAATACACAAATAATTTCTGGGGGCACCTGGGTGGCTTAGTCAGTTAAGTGTCTGCCTTCAGCTCAGGTCATGATCCAGGAGTCTTGGGATTGCACCCCATGTAAAGATCCCTCCTCAGGGTGCCTGGGTGGCTCAGTGGGTTAAAGCCTCTGCCTTCGGCTCAGGTCATGATCCCAGGGTGCTGGGATCGAGCCCCGCAGCGGGCTCTCTGCTCAGCAGGAAGCCTGCTTCCTCCTCTCTCTCTCTCTGCCTGCCTCTCTGCCTACTTGTGATCTCTGTCAAAAAAAAAAAAAAAAGATCCCTCCTCAGTGACGAATCTGCTTCTCCCTCTCACTCTACCCACCCACCCCCCTGCTTGTGTTCTCTCTTGCCCATTCTTTCTCAAATAAATATATTCTCAAATAAATACAATCTTTAAAAATAATTTCTGTATAATAGCTGATACTTGGAGCTGCAAACAGTGGAATACACCAATTTTTTTATTTGAAGCCTAGGATTTCATCTTGCACTGGGCTAACATTTTTAAATGAACAGAACTAATTTTGGGACACCTGGGTGGCTCAGTCAGTTAAACATCTGACTTCAGCTGAGGTCCTGATCTCAGGGTCCTGGGACCGAGCCCCAGTTTGGGCTTCCTGCTCAGTAGGGAGTCTGTTTCTCCCTCTCCCACTAATCCTCCTCCCCACTTGTGCTTGTGAGTTTTCTCTCTCTTGGTCTCAAGTAAATCTTAAAACTAGTTTCAGGACTTTATATATTATTTGTAGTGTTTACTTGAAATGCAACTGTTGTATTACACATAAGAATGTCTGCCTTTATTCTCATCCCATTCCAAGAGGCAAAATTAGTAAAAATCTGAAGTATTTAGAAATATTTGTATACTTCCTCTAAACTCTATTAAAATTTTAATTTCTTAGAATTAAATATTAATATTTGTTTTCCATACAGGTGGTAGAGTATTTGGAGTATTTGTATGTAGATAAATATATGCTACTTAGGAGCACTTGAGTTGGTAGAGGAGGACTCTTGATCTTGGTGTGGTGAGTTTGAGTCCCGCACCAAGGGTAGAGGACACAGTTTACTTAGGGAAAAGAAAAAAATGCGTGCGCGCGCGCACACACGATATTTAGTATGGTGTGGTGCAGAGATGTTAATTTGGCCTCGTGGAACCAAAACTTGAGGTCTAGGCCCTGTAGATTTTCAAACAAGTCCATGACTTGCAATAGTTTAAGGACCAGTAGTTTAGTGAGACATGGCTTTTGGAGTCAGAACTTAACCTATATTTGGCTGGAAAACATTTTCAAGCATTAAATGATGATTATGCACCTTAGCATCTAAATCCCTCCCTTGATGAATAGGGCATTTAGGATCATATCATGAACTCTGGCATTGCTTTATAAGGTCAATTTAGGCCTTCTGGAAAATTTGTATACCTTCAAAAAGGTGTTTATAAAATTAAGAAATTAAATATGAAGATAATTCAGTCAAGAAACTTTTTTGGAAATACACTCTCTGATAGAGTCAGATATAACAGGTTGATTCAACTTCTCTCAATATAATGACATACCATTTTTTTTACTTAAGTCGTGAAAAATTGAAATAAAAAATACAGACTATTAGGGCACCTGGGTGGCTCAGTCGTTAAGTGTCTGTCTTTGGCTCAGGTCACGATCCCGGGGTCCTGGGATCAAGGCCCACATGGGGCTCCCTACTCAGTGGGAAGCCTGCTTCTCCTTCTCCCCCTGCTTGTGTTCCTTCTCTCTCTGTGTCTCTGTCAAATAAATAAATAAAATATTTTAAAAATATATAAACTATTATAACCCATCATTAGTATTTTCTCCCCCAAACTGTAATGTTTTTATTCTGTTTGGGGGAAAGGGCTATATGAATCTTATATTCTAGGAATATACTGCAACTCTGAACCTCTGGAAATAAATAGTATCAACCTGTGGAGGTAGGTGGGTGCAAAGTAGATGGACGGTTACTGTCTTTTAAAAGTAAGTGATTATGCGATGCCTGGGTGGCTCAGTCAGTTAAATGTCTGCCTTTGGCTCAGGTCATGATCCCAGCATCCTGGGATGGAGTCCTGCATAAGGCTCCTTGATCAGTGGGGAGCCTGCTTCTCCCTCTGCCTGCTGCATCCCCTGCTTGTGCATGCTCTCTCCTTCTCTGACAAAATCTTAAAGGTGATTTTGGTGATTTGGGGGTACCTGGGTGGCTCAGTGAGTTAAGCATCTGCCTTTGGCTCAGGTGATAATCCCAGGATCCTGGAATGGAGCCCCAGGTCATCTGAGGATCCCTCCTCAGTGGAGAGCCTACTTCTCCCTTGCCCCTGGCCCCCTACTACTCCCCTGCCATGCTTTTATCTCAAACAAAATCTTTTTTTTTTTTAAAGGTGATTTTAAGTATATGGTTCATAAAATTCAAAAACCATATTCAACTTCCATGTTTATAGTAAAAAGATTACAAATTAAAATCAAGAATATCTTACTATATTGTCAGGTTTCAGGTTCTTTCAGAACACTGGCCAAAAACTTAAAGGGTCAAGGTTGATTGCATGTTCATTACTGTTTGATCTTATGTGTACAATGAGTAGTTTCTCAGAAAAAGTGTAATTGAAACACGGAGCAAAATAACTATTCTAGTTTGTATGAACTAAAAGGCTTCATAAAGGTAGATTGAGGAAAACCAGGAATTCTCTGCTAAGACCACCTGTTTTTTAAAGAAATAACTACA